TTGTTCCTATAAGTGAAATATCTAGTAAGTTTAGTCAAAAGATCATAAAAACCGTACTACTTTCCTTATGAACTTTTCTTGAAAACGGCTTGACCGATTTCTAAGTTTTTACTATCAATTGAAAGACCAATGAAAACCCTACAATATGTGATCGAACAACAATCTTTCTCATTTTCGATAAATCCGCTGTTCGAAAAAAATTATTTGTTTTATTTTTTCATAAAAATTTCAAATGATACCATCAAATTATTTTACACGCATTCGAAAGCAAAGGAAAAAATGAACCAAACCGCAAAAACCGCATCTCAAAATAATTTCTGGAACCGATTTAATACTTGAAAATAATAAGGGTTGCCTAATTCAAATAACTAAAGTAGGAATTGTCCCTATAAGTGAAACATCTAGTAAGTTTGAAAATAGTGGGAAAAATAAAACAACATTTTTCCTTTCAACGCCTACTTTAATTATTTGAATTAGGCAACCTTTATTATTTCCAAGTATTAAATCGATTCCAAAAATTATTTTATGGTGCGGTTTTTGCAGTTTAGTTCTTTTTTCCCGTGCTTTCGAATGAATGCGGGTAAAATAACTTGATGGAAGTATTTGAAATTTTTGTGAAAAATTAAAACAATGAAAGTTTTTTGAACAGTGGATTTTTCAAATCATGATTAAGATTTATTTTATATCACATATTGTAGAGTTTTAATTGCTCTTTCAATTGATAGTAAAAACTTTGAAATCGGTCGAGTCGTTTCGGAGTTACAGGTTTCTTTGAAGTAAGCGGTTTGACTCTCTCCCCACTCTTTGTTTGACAAGTTAGGAAAAAAGCTCATAAGGAAAATAGTATGGTTTTTTATGATCTTTTGACTAAACTTACTAGATGTTTCACTTACAGCAACAATTTCTGTATAAAATCTACTTTTTAAAATAGCGTTTGCAATTACGCCAACTAGTAGTCATCTGAGCAATTTCAAAATAATTTCCAGCAAATTCTTTTGTTCAAGTTTCTTATAAAAAAAATTTTATCACTCCACTACACATACTTTCCAAGATACAGCCGCTTACCATCTTTATTGCGACACCCTGTATACTAACTTATAACTTCAGTTTCTGTGAAGGCTCTCAAAAGAAACAATAACTTTAGTTTGCGCTTTTATCAACATTCAGTGCACCGTCTTGAAATATGTTAGGCATATATAACTGGTATAAACGTAGCATTGATGCACATATAAAATTCAGTTCACGTGTTTGCAGCTTTATTTAATGACCTTAGCACATTAGAAGAGTGTTTATTGACCGGGAACAAGAACAAAAGGAAGCATAAAAAACTCTATTACATTGTTAAATCAATGAAATAAATGATAGAACACAATAGAATAATTTCAATCTTTCCAGAGTCTGCTTCATTTGTCAAGTTGCAAGCAATTTTTGAACAAACTAAATAGGCTTAACAGTAATTGCAAAATAATAGATATACATGTGGTAAGAATTTCAGCGAATCAATCTTGCTTAAATTGTGATCAATTTTATTGTAGCATACAGTTTGGCGTATCAGACGAAAACATCTGGTAGCTTAGAGTATCTATAAACATTATGCTCAATTCCATTTAAAGGCATTTCGTCATTTTCTCCGAATAGCGAGGTAATACTTTCGGAACAAAACGGCAAGAAAGCTAATGAGTATTCTAAACTAGAAAACACGGGAAATTGTTCTGTATATTGAACAACTTATCATTTTTAGACTATTTAGCTCGACGAGAACGCAAAAATTAACATATTTTTGGTTTCGTCCCAAAATAACTTAGCAATATTACGACAAGTTGAGGCATTTGAAAATTCATACAAATAAATTCTCACTGCTTTTAATTTTAGCTGTTCTACTAGCCAAATTCTGATCTGGAAGGCTTTGAGTGCAAATCTTACACACAGAAACATTACGCCACTATAACACTGTTTCATAGTTAACACCGGCTCTTTTGAGTGCAGGGAGTTGCCACCAAATAGCAGCAATCTTCTCCTTACAAGCGTCATACATTAGCAAGTAACCAGTACAATGTTTTTTGCATAATTTATATATCGCATCATCAGAAATTCGAATGTTGAGCAGAGGAAGTTTAAAGTAAAGTAAATTTCATTTACCAAATATTTCCCCAAACCAGACAGTTCTCTTGTCCAAAAGTTACTCTCAAGACTTGAAAAAAATCCATAGTTTTGGAGTAATTGAAAATTTCCCAAACATGTGCTTGATCAAATCGATCGACTTTTCAATAAGCTTGATTGCTAACTGCTATATTTTGAGGGATGTTCTATGTCGTAAAAATAATCGAGAACTTCTTAGAAAAATACAAGAAGCGAATTCCGAGCGTAGGTGGATCACAAGATCTGAGAGTAGAGAAACAAAGCACATGAAAAAAGTAGTTCAATTTGGTCATACCCATGAATTAAAGATTGGAAATCGCTCTAAAACTATTGACCTTCACAAAAACTCTCCGAATATTTGTGTATTCGAAAACTGTTCCAATTGTTGTTACAGTTACCTTCTAAAAGGATTCGGCCTGTAAATCCTTAAGCGTTCCAGTTATATCGCTCAGAAAGCAAATGTTTCCAAATAGGTTGTTTGTCGGATTAGTATGCTGGTCAAATTTAAATGAAACCGGTTTCGGTTGAATATTTAAAAAATAAATACTCATTGAGAGGGTGGTAATGTTTTTTGATTGTTGAGGACACCCTTAAAGCCTCCCAGCTTCATATTGGATCATTTTGTATACGTAAAATATTTTATGTGCCGTCTTAAAATGCGCATACATTTTATCATAATTTGATAGCGAAAGATCTAGTTTTCAAGTAAACAAGTTGGTATGCTTGCAGCCTAATTTGAGTGATCCAGATAAAAGCCAATATTATTTTTTGTAATTCCGAAAATCAACAGCGGCAACATAAATTTTAATGTTTGTATATGCATGCGGCGCTTGATATCAAATAAGGGAGATTCCTGTTTTAGTGATGTGGAAATGTAATATTTAGTTTTGCTTTTATAATTGCTTTGGCAACGAGCCTCGATTTTCAGATGTTATTATTTTAATATAAGTTCTTAATAGTTCGCGATTGTGAACGTTACTTCACTCAATCAAAAATAGATTCTATATTCTGTTTTTTTTAGTCCTCACTGATCAAACAAGCCGAAGCCATTATCGATGTAAATGTTGACATATCGGTGGCTAATGCTGATAGGGCGAAAGCCACAAAAAGTAAAAAATTATACTTTTGTGCGAAAACACAAAAACCTAACATTACCAAATGTTGCCAACTGATTACAAATAATAAAAATTCACCAAAAACAAAAATATGTCTTCGTAGGGGTACCCATTGTTCAAGCATACGATTTTAAGTGCTTTAACTTGTTTCCCCAAAGAGTAGGATAGCACCTTTCAGGTAACGGTTTGGAACAATAGCATGTTTTCTCATCGGATTTTTCAAATGAAATTGTTTTAAACTTCTTGGTAATTTTTTAACTTAGTTTCACTTAATACGCACGCACAAATCTTATTCCCATCGTCAACAGCTACGCATATCACAGAAAAACGATAGACTAACATCGCATTAACTTGAAGTCAAGTTTGATGTAGTTGAATCTTTCCTATCTTTAGAAATAGTTTCTGACGTATACTTTTCTGTTCAATTATGGTTGAAGTGTACGCAAGTTTTCTTTGAATAAACGGATAATAAATGAAATAACAGAATGAACGTTTCTGTGGTCTGAAATGAAATAAATCAACGATTGCTCAACGTTTTATAAGTATTATTGCTTTAGATTCAATTCAGTATATTGATATATTTCGTGCAGTAAAAATCCTTATGCGGAAGCTTATTTTCCTAATTTAACAGGCTATGACCCACAATTTATAAAATAATCCTTGCGCTTCACACATATACGAAATGTTATTCAAAAGTACGGCAGTACATATTCAAAAATATGTGCATTACACATTATATGTGCGAGAAGCACAATGATTTTTCTATGAGTTGTGGGTCATAGCCGGTTGAATTATGAAAATAATATAATATTTGTCTTTTCAAATTTGCTTTTATGTTTCAGCTTGTTACTTACAATTAAAAGTTACTTACTTAGCTATTTAATTACAATTGAAAATTACTTAAAACTTAATATATGCCTTATTTGAACTACATTTTGAATCTGTATAAAGCAGCAAGATAGTTCTCATAACTTCATAGGCTATGATCCACAAGTCATACAGAAATCCGTTTTTTGCACACATTTACAAAATATATTTCAAATTACGACATACCCTGTGTTTTAAGTCGTTTTTAATTCTAAAACAATATGATAAATGATAAATCTGATTTCAGGAACGGACGATTTTAAGTTCTCAGCAATTTTGAATTGTAATTAAAGCTTTAGCAAAATAAAAACCTGCATTGGGTAATGTGTAGAAAAAGGCTATCGACCCAATAGGTCTTTCTGCCATAAAATTCATAAAATAACTTAAATTTGAAAACAGTACTCTACAGTACTAGATAAAGTTTCGTATGGATTTCAGAGGAATAAAATTAAAGAACAAATAAATTTCATGCATTTCATAAGATCAGAGAAAGTAACATATGGTAAGCATTCGGAAGTATCGACAGTGAACACATCCACTACTTAAGTATCGAAATGATATCCACAAATAAATATTTTCACAATTCAAAAATGTATGATTGAAATTTCATTAAAAATTAGGGATGTTAGGAAACTCGTACAAGCGTCCCTTTTGAATCTTCAACAAGCTCAGTTAATTTGGTAATTTTCGAAAAATCACATACACATTTTCCGATTTAATGGAAACAAGAATGAAAAATTAGAAGAAGGTAATCGTTTAAATACAAAACATAAATTTGACCAAGTATTACGGCATTCATAAAAAAAACATAATTGGCAAGTATACATACATTAAAATTTAAAGCATTTTACAAAAATCTGTTTGCCCCATATAACCAACCATAGACGATTGACAGCAATCGCGATTCGTCACGTTAACACAGCACGTAATAACAATGTAGCCGCGGCCAATCACAGCTATAACAGTAACAATTGACAGCAAATGTCTGAAGCGAAAGCAAAGACGCAACAACGTTCGTGTTTTATCACGCGAACCGCCGCCGCGTTCTCCGATTCGCAACTGTCTAGGCCACCATGGCACACTACCACTTGTGGCGCGATTTTTCTGGGCTAGCGGGGTGGAGAGGGGCGCATGAAACATGCAACACGCACCCTTTAGTGGAGAATTTAGACTTGGAGCGAATATTGATACTATTCGCTTTTTTTTTTAGGCTGTGTCAAATGTTCGAGCCAAGCTACAAGCCAAGGAAAAACTATTTCGCTGGTAAAATTTGCGGTGCTTTGACACCTTTGTTTCAGCAGTTTCCTTCCTAATGTTTTAATCGCATGTTTTAGAAACTGTTGCTGTCATTATACTTGTTGGTCATTTTATGTCTGGTCTTTGAGATGTCGTGCGACCCTCACTTCTTTGACTATTTTCCAAAGCGTCTGTTTGTTATTCATTTAATGGTTAATGGTAAATTGTATGACTCTGGTCCGTCAGCAATGAAGCCGCAGTTCTTTGAGTACAAGTACAATGTAACCATCATATGATTATGTTGTAGGATTGTACGAAACAATGGAAAAATTGCATTCTGCTTACAATTAAAGCCCAAAATGTAAACCAAATGTTCCCATAGAGGGTGAACCAAAAGTGCCTTCATTCATTTAAAAGGGTTACAATGAGGCTTACTTTCAAAGTACAAGCAACCTTTTTTAATTTGCGCTTGTTTTTTAAAGCGATTTAAAGGACATTTGAAAGACGCTACGTTGTCATTTCGCAAACTAGAAGTGTATTTTCTGTTCGACAAATTGACGATTTAATGAAATTTTAAAGAAAAATCATAAGGGCGATCAGTTTACGCAAGAATCTGGTGACATATATGTTACCGTTTGAGTGTATTGGTGATAGTAAAACTGGAAATTGTTGTTCAATTTCGTTTCAATGCTGCTGAAAACTTCCCACGCTTAAAACTTTTGAAGATTTACCTTTTCGAGGTAAAGCAGTAAGGATCTCCTTATTTACTTTAAGCAAATTCGTACTTCTGTTAACGAAAAATCTCACTGAACAACTGAAACTGGCAGCACCTGAGTAGCTGATTACTGAAGATTACAGACTTGTGTCTTGAAGCTTGATCTCATATTGTTTGCAAGGTTTTGTATCCAGCAATATTTTAATGAAAGGCCCGGTGTCGTTCGTTGTGTCAGGCATTGCATTCCTCCCAACCGATATGAGTGAGGGTGATGAAACTATAAGTTAGGTGACTTAAGCGATCCTGTCTTTTCACCTTTGCTATTGAGTTTCAACTATTTCCCTGTCTAGTCGTCAGTCAACCGTTCAGATTTAGACCATTGTTTGTCTTCCTTGCACACAGTAGATGACCGGATTACGAGAGTATCTGAAAGACACGACATCAAATCGGGTTGACGCCGATCCGAACCGCTAAAGGCAGCGAATAATAAAGAAACCTTCTCACAGCGTGGAATATACAGCATTCCATGCCGCGGTGGGTTATCTAAACTCATACAATAACACGGAATTTTAACACCAGAATTAGAGAATCCAGTGGAAGCTTCAGATTGGTTCACACGGGAAAATCTACAGGCGCGAAGCACGCACAGTGCGTTTGGTTAAGTAAGGAAGAATTATATTGAGATTTTGAAAGTTAAACAGAAAGGAAGAAGTTAGTGCGTTAAACCAGAGCGCTTAAACCTTGCGCGTCTCAGTTGCCCGACTCACGCACATCATCTTTCCACAAGCACAAGATGGTATATAGACAGCAGTAGCACCAGTAGAAGAGCCATCGGCGAGAGACGCGGGAGATAACTTTTATCGTTTCCTCATCGTTGTTCCTCAATGTTCACAGCAGGCATAACATGTATGCAAAGGCAAGGCAGAAATTATAATTTTCCACGAGCTGAAAGCTCGGAAAACTTTTCAACTAATATCTTGACCAGCTTAAACAAGTACCCGGTTCAAACTCTAATAACAAAAAAACACTAACGAAAAGCCGGCATGGTAGAGGACCATACACATATTCAGTTAATGTTGGAGAAAAAATATTAGAGAGGAGGAAGTTCAAATTCTGCAAAACAACTAGCACACTCACACACAAATTATCCAAAAAGTGGTTGTGTCGCAGAATTCTCATTGGTGCCTTAACAAAAAAAAATGTTTTCAACTAAATCACAGTTAAAACAGGGTTCCGTGATTACAATTATCCATGCGTCTGCCGTTATGCAAGTGGTCAAACATCAGACGCAAATATTAAAAGATTAAAACCATAGTGTCCTGGTAACTGAGATAGTCTGTGACAACAGTACTGATAAGCTGAGCATGTGCTATTTTAATTTATTGGCGATTGAGAATTTGGATTCTGAATCACCAATAAAATATAATACGACCCCTCGAACTAATTTTCTCTGCCGCTTTAATTAAATTTTATGTGCCAGAATCGTGAAGGACACCTTAATTGGATCCTTCGGAAAGTGCCTCTGAGGCTCACAAGAAAATATAACTTGGACTTTTTACAAGACGTTGTAACTGGATCCTAAGAATGTATTATATTAGTTGTGGGAAAGAAACTGTGGTTTATGCATCGCGCATGCGCGATGTCAAACATATTTCCCCAAAGATGAGCTTGTGTGCGGTGAATTTACTAAAAGTTCTTCACATAGTACTGATCTTGATCCACTAGCCTGCTGTGGGTGGGGTTACTGCGAGAGTAAGTAGGCAAATTAAGTAAACAGGTCAGATATAAGAATATCAAGGCAGAATAGAAACATCGTATCAATGTAGCAACCACAGCTTCCGCACGGTTACGGAAAATGCATTTGCATCACGCTACTGTGTTTTGGAAAAAAGCTACCTGCACTTGTAACAATTTTTCGGATTTTGATGAGTACAATATGTCGTCACATAAGTAACTCGATTTAGAGCATATACTATTCCATAAACTAAATGAGATCAAAGCGGCTAATAAAGTGCTTAAAAGTATAGCTGAGCTGGCTGAGCTCTGTATTCATTTCATGAAAGGAGTGGGAACACTACCGAAGAAGGTTAAATAGACCCAGAATTATTTAAAACTAGTCACAGTTTAGAAAGCTAACAAGTCACAGAAAGCTAACAATGGAACTTCAGTAGTGTTAATTTGCTTCGCTTCGTATAAGACGATTTGAGTATACGAGGCGATTCAAAATTGGCGTCATTCCTCTGGACGTGCTGTTTGGCGGTGTTTTAGAAGGACAGAAAAAATAGATTAAAAAATTAATTCTTCTGAAAAACTGAGGAACGTTCAAAAAACTATATTAAAAAGACGGCAACAATGTTTTTCAAGGTAATCTGCCTAATTAACATTACTTAAATAGCTGTTAGTTCGTTATTATTTAAAACTCCGGTAACTTCGTAATGTAAATTATGAAATAACATTATTAGCATTCATAACCTCGAATTATTAATTTGCTTACAAATTACAAAAATTTACATTGGCGTCTGGAACTCCAAACAAGTGCCAGTGTAACCACCTTATTATGCACTCTTCGCGAGCAGCTTCTCATATTCGGTTAATTAATGTTCAGTAATAAATTGGTTTAATGGGTATTTTAGATACGTGGTAGGAATGTAGCCGATACTTATTTGGTGCCTGGGAAGGTGTTAGTTGTTCTGCTCTGAGTACCCCTGGAAGGTTGTGCATCAATTATCTGCAATACTTATTGCTCTGTGTCTGGAACCCGAACATTTATTGTCGTCCACTATCTTCCTGGAGACAATCTCCAGTGTAAATCGTCCTTTGTTGGTGTGAGTTCTCACAGCTTCGGCTATGTTAATGTGGCATTTCCCCAGAACTAATCGCATATTACCCAATTCTTTTGTAATTACAATAAAGACCGGTTAACGATACACAATTAGCAAGCTAATTTGTGTAACATCATAAATAAATATAAATGAATAAAAATAAATAAAAATGGATCATTTTTTCTCCATGTTAAATAAACCTTTAGATAAATAGCGGCAAATTTAGTAGCAAAACATTTCCCCAATTGGACATTGTAACAGTCATAAGGCTCGGGATTGCACTCGCCATTCTCATTCATCATTCATTCATTCAAAAAATTGTTTTCCTGAACTCCTGCCAGCTAGGTGAAAAACGTTATACGTAAAAATATTACGTTTGCGATCATTAACGTTTAAAATCTTATTAAGAACGTTCCGATTAAAAAAAGATTTGCAATGATGTAAAGGTTTATACCTTATACACACATGTAAGGCAGCAGTCGCTTTTCTCTAACCGATAATTTTCACGATCGTATTTTAATTTTTGAAGAGAAAGGCAGTACCGCGCATTCCAAGACGCATTCGTTTACATTACAATAATATGGTGGGTGTAAGCATGTGTTAACATGCTTCAACACCTTGTTCGCAATTACTTTTTCACTTGATTAGCCACCCTCATTCAGTTGAATGTTACATTATGAGCCACGTTTCGTGAGGCAGAAAAACGGTAAATTATAACTGGAAAATTGTCGACCTCATTTTCTGCCTTTTTGTGCGACTGTTTAAAATTTACGTTTATTTCAACAAATTATTGCCAATTGGTTAATTGCATATCTTGAATCTCAACTTTGCGTGACTTTTGTTTCTTTGTATTGTTTTCCTCGCTACATCGCACGGGTCAACGGTAGGTGAACCAAAGTTTATAAATAGTGAAACAACAAAACCTTTTAGAGACCTGCTAAGAAAATAAAAACCATGTTTTCATTAAGTCGAAAACCCGAAGTTTAATAAGAAAACCCGATTATTGTGCTGTCCCAAACACAGGTTTTTATAACATCCGATTCAAGCAGTTTTAATGCAACTACCTTCTACATGAACGATCGAACTTTGAGCTTAAAGTTAATGCAATTAATGTGCTGTTGCTACATATGTTTACTTTTTCCCTAAAGTTTTGGTTCTACTTGTCTGCTAAAAGTGGTCTCCAAATTTTCTACTTGTTGCTTCAGAGTATTTTCCAAATTCACCCATTTAATTTTTGCTTTGGTCTGTGCCGAGCATCCTCAGACTTCATGGCG